CTCAAGACATGTCTCTGGGTGTCGTGTTCTGGGCCCAGATTCTCGGGTGAGATCACTGCTGCCAGAGGGCCCTCTAACTCCCCAGGGATCATTAGGGTCAGTCCCTCATCAGTGAGGTCTCTCCCAGTTTTTTGAGTGAGTAGGCGGGGGCATCGACCTAGGCATGGGGTTGGGCTGCTCCAAGGGAATGCCGGTTAGAAGTTCTCAACATCTTTGATGGGTTCAAGTGGTGGTCCAATGGTTGTCCCATGACTCTTGAAGTGATGTCCCGGTGCCTGGAGGCCGTACGGATCTGGATGGGGAGAAACAGGCTCAGACTCAACCCATCCAAGACCGAGTGGCTGTGGTTTCCGACATCCCGATATAGTCAGCTGGTGCCATCGCTGACTATTGGGGGCGAAGTATTGGCCCCCACGGAGAGGGCTCGCAACTTGGGTGTCCTCCTGGATTCACGGCTGTCTTTAGAAGAGCACTTGACGGCCGTGACCGGGAGGATTTTTCATCAGGTTCACCTGATTCGCCAGTTGCGTCCCTTTCTGGATCGGGACTCGTTACGCACGGTCACTCATGCCCTCGTCACCTCCCGTCTGGACTATTGTAACGCTCTCTACATGGGGCTCCCCTTGAGGAGCACTCGGAGGCTCCAACTGGCGCAGAGTGCGGCCGCGCGGGTGGTGATGGGAGCGACGTGGCGCTCCCATGTAACGCCTCTCCTGCGCGAGCTGCACTGGCTCCCAGTGGTCTTCCGAGTGCGCTTCAAGGTTTTGGTCATCACCTTTAGAGCGCTCCATGGCTCAGGACCTGGTTATCTACGGGACCGCCTGCTACCACCAATAGCCTCCCACCGACCAGTACGCTCCCATAGAGAGGGGCTCCTCCGGGTGCCATCGGCCAAACAATGTAGACTGGCGGCCCCCAGGGGGAGAGCCTTCTCTGTGGGGGCACCTACTATCTGGAACGAGCTCCCCCCGAGATACGGAGGATTCCGGATCTGCGTACCTTCCGTCGCACGCTGAAGACGTTCCTATTCCAGCAAGCCGGCCTGACCTAAACTTCTCCTCTTTTAAATGGGAATTTTAAATTTGGTTTTAAATTATTGGGGTTTTAAATATGGTTCAGCCAAATTTATCTAACTTGTTTTATTTCTATTTTAAATTTTGTATTGATATGTTTTATTTCATGGCTGTTCACCGCCCTGAGTCCTTCGGGAGTAGGGCGGTATACAAATCTAATAAACTAAACTAAACTAAACTAAACTCTCCTTCTGGGTTTGCCATGGATGCTGCCATTCCTCTGGGCGGCACAAGCTGGTCTCAAGTGCTCTGGTGATGGTCATCCCTTTCAGTGGTTTGTTGGTCTCCATTGAAACTGTTCATCGGAGACTCCCCTTCCCCCCTCTCTCAGGCCCTGGGCATCAATGTCGGCTTTTACATGTGGTGCCTTTTATGCCGGTTCAGCAAGCTGAGAAGGCAGTAGCTCTTGCCACACTTGTTACAGCTGTAGGACCTGAGGGGGTTGTAGGTCTCCCCATGTGCCTTGCCAGTTGCAGGGTCAGGAAAAGTCTCACTGCATTCTCAGCAGGGAAAGGGCTTTGGCTCCTATGTCATTACTTTTACAGCTGCCCCCCAGTCCTGTTGTGATTGCCTCTCTGGCAGAATGGGACTTTTTGCCTCGGTCTCTTCGCCTTGCCTGTTTCACCTTAAAGTTTTCGCCTCTGCGTTATTAGCCACAAACTTTTCTCCTCGGCTGACACACCCCCAGTCTTTCGCCCCAGCACATTGGCCACGGCCCCTCCGTCCCAGTCCCTTAGCCGGGGCCCATTCGTCGAAGTTCAGTTCGTGTTGGGCTTTTGGCCTCCCAGGACAATTCACACCCAGCCAGTCAGTGCAGGGACTCGGGGACTTTGGAGTGGAAGAGTGGGGGCTGCAATTCAGAGGGAGACTCAGAAGGGCCAACAACACCCACCCCTTTGTCCAAAGTGCCTGAGACAAGGGTAGGCTCGGCTGCCGAGAGCAGTGCGGAGGTAGGGTGGGGGACGGGGGCTGTAAAGGATGAGGGATCCATCACCCCAAATGGGAAGAGAAGAGTGGGGAGGGGGAAAAGAAAGAAAAAGAAAGAAAAAACAGGGGAGAGAGAAAAAGAAAGATGTAAATCTGAAGTTAGATTATATTACTGACTTTTACAATGTAGAATCTCATGTTTTGTAGAATTTTCCTTCCATGTTTCTTGAATATGTATTTGGAACTTCTTACCGAGAAGTTTAACTTTGATCAAAGAATAAAGTCTGTTTTCTTTGGTTTTCAAGCCTCCGTTTAAGTCTTTGTTTTGGTTCATTTTTGGCTTAAGTGTATTGCCAAACCTTACACTAGTATGATTCGATTGCTTATTTGTACCCTATGACTATCATTAAGTGTTGTACCTTATGATTCTTGATGAAAGTAACTTTTCTTTTTATGTACACTGAGAGCATATGCACCAAAGATAAATTCCTTGTGTGTCCAATCACACTTGGCCAATAAAGAATTCATTCGTTCACTCAATGGTATGTCCTTATAGGATAGGACACAAATTTTTTCCTTAGGAAATTAGGAGGGAATCTGGCTATTTAAGTTCTCCTCTTTTGTTTATTCAGGAAAGAGGTTGTTAAGGGTAAAGGGCAGGCAAATCAAAGCCAGATCAATGTATTTGCCCCAGGTAAAAAAAAAAAAAAAGGTGGTAAAAAGAATTTTCCTCTCGGACTTCAAACATACTCCTTTCGATGAAGCCTGGGTATTTACCCCACCACTCTTCACCTCTGCTCTTCCACCAAGCATAGCACAACAACCTCTTTCCTGAATAAACAAACGGGAGAACTTAAAGAGCCAGCTTCCCTCCTAATTTCCTAAGGAAAAAATTTGATTCTAATGAGTACCTCTGTGTATTTGATAAGCTATATAAGACCGGTGGTGATGGGGCAGTTAGGGTCCTTCCGGTCCTTTGCCAAAGATTCCTTCCCTGCGAGGGTGTGGAGCACCCTGTTTGAGCCTGTCCCCCCCAAATCCTCAAAATCCCCAAATCCCCCCTCACCTCTCTTTGTGGCAAAGAGATGCAAACCAGCCCTTGTCTCAGGCACTTTGGACAAAGCAGGGGTGGTGGTGGTCTTTCTTTCTTTCTTTCTTTCTTTCTTTCTTTCTTTCTTTCTTTCTTTCTTTCTTTCTTTCTTTCTTTCTTTCTTTCTTCCTTCCTTCCTTCCTTCCTTCCTTCCTTCCTTCCTTCCTTCCTTCCTTCCTTCCTTTCTCTCTCTCTCTCTCTCCCTCCCTCCCTCCCTCCCTCCCTCCCTCCCTTTTCTTTTCTTTCTTTTTCTTTCTCTCTCCCCCCACTCTTCTCTTCCCATTTGGGGTGATGGATCCCTCATCCTTTACAGCCCCCCTCCCCCACGCTGCTCTCGGCAGCCAAGCCAACCCTTGTCTCAGGCACTTTGGACAAAGAGGCGGGTGTTGTTGGCCCTCCTGAGCCTCCCTCTGAACTGCAGCCCCCGCTTTTCCACTCCCAAAGCCCCCAAGTCCCTGCACCGATTGGCTGGGTGTGAATTGTCCTGGGAGGCCAAAAGCCCGACACGAACTGTACTTCGACGAATGGGCCCCGGCTAAGGGACTGGGACGGAGGGGCAGTGGCCGATGTGCCAGGGCGAAAGACTGGGGGTGTGTCAGCCAAGGAGAAAAGTTTGTGGCTAATAATGCAGAGGCGAAAACCTTAAGGTGAAACAGGCAAGGCGAAGAGACCAAGGTGAAAAGTCCTAGACCCCCCTCTCTGGTCCCTATCTTTGCATGACCCCTGCTGGAGACAGACATACAGGGTTAAACATTCCTCATGGTAGGCTAGCCCTCTAGGTGGATTGAGAATGAAGTTCTGCCCCAACTTGGTCCCTTAAGAAAGAAAGACCCTCAACTCCATTTGTAGTGAAAGGTATACTTTACTAAAAGGCCAAGTGGTTTACAGTATAGCAAAGCCAGAACTGAGTATTCACACCAACTTTCCCCAGTCTCTCATTGCTGGTCTCTCATTGTCCAATCAATTTTAAAAGAGATGATTTGGAAATGCCTGTCGACATTCTTCTGGCTTCATCGCTTCCCTCAAGCATTAACTCTTCCTCCCTTCCCTTCCTTCCAGCCTCCCCCAGAGTTCATGGCAGACTGGCATTCTGACACCAGTCCTTATGACCTACTTGGTCAGCTCCAACAATAGATAAGAAGACCAAGTTACAGCTTTATAAAACAATTGTTGTACCAACAGAGATCTATACCAGTGACACATGGGCATTAACAGCACACACAGCATGAAAGCTCAATGTGCTCCATCAATCTTGCCTACAGAGAATTCGGGGTGTCACTTGATGTGATTGTATCAGCAATGTGGAAACTTTCCAGTGAGGTGGATCCAGGAAGTTGCAGCCATTGTGACAGAACATCAAATGTGCCTAGCTGGCCATATTCTTCCTTTGCCAGAACATTGATACCCGAAAAACACTGTATGATGGGAGCCGCCAGAGGGAAAGTGGAGGTGGAATAGACCATGCAAAACTTGGCATCAGACATTTAAAAATAACTTACAAACAGTGGACATTAAATGGATAGAAGCTGAAGACGCTGCCATAGATAGGATTCATTGGAAGAAACTTGCTGTCCTATGCACTTCATGTAAAAGAAACTGATGATACACACAGATATCAATAAATATGCAAGAATGAAAAATGAATGTTTGAGTAGTATTTGTGTTTGTGACAGAGTTGTATTTCTGAATGTCATCTTATTTTTTATTACTGCAATGATTATTGTGCTTAATTCACAATTAAACTATATGAGTTTGCCCTTCATTAATGCACATGTGGTATCATTTGAAACCAAACCAGCTTGGTTTGAATAATCACAGTTTGATACATATCTGTTTGCGTTGCAGAAATATAATGGGAAAAAACGGGGGAATAATTCTGGAAGCTTACAGCATTATGATTTGTCTTTCAGAAAATGTGCCATGATCTCTGCTCATTACGGCCTCAGTGATGTTTTTGACAACCTCATAATTTCTCTCTGTAAATTCACAGCCCTCAGCAGTGAGGTAAGTTGTCAAATGGAGACATATAAATAATTTAAATTTAAACATAGTTCATGAACAAAATTGATTTTCCTTTCAGTTAAATACAACCACTTGATTCGTTAATACTAATTTTCAGTTCTTTCTGGTTCCCCAGAGCATCCAACTTTCAAAGTTACATCCTACCAATTTTTTAAAGAGAATTGAAAACAAAAGCATGTTCTTGCAAGAAAGTTTCTTGTAATTAATTTCAAAATCTTATTTTATAACCATCTGGACCCTTGGTCTGTTTGTAATTTTTCAAAATCAAACTTTTCATCATTTTTTTGCTGTTAATTCCATTTTTTAAAACTTGTATTTAAAACATATTTCACTAAGAATTGAAGAAAATTCACCAGGTGCTGTAAAACCTGTTGATCCAAAGTTCATAATAATTACAACAGCACTGAAAAAGTGATTTATGACCATTTCTTATAGTTATGACCGTTGCATTATCTCCATGGTCATATGATCAAAATTTAGACCCTTAACAACTGTCTGAGATTTACGACGATTGCAGTGTCCCTAGCTCATGTGTGATCACCTTTTGCAACCTGCTGACAAGCAGTCAATGGGAAAGCCAGATTCACTTAACTATGTTACTAACTTAACTGCAGTGATTTACTTAACAACTGTGGCAGAAAGGATTGTAAAATGGAGCAAAACTCACTTAACAACTATCTTGGTTAACAACAGAAATTGTGAGCTCAATTGTTGTCATAGGTTGAGGACTACTTACATGTGAGCCCAGTGTTTTCCACCAACCATGGTTGAAAAAATGGCTATTCCCTTATGTCTCAGAGCTCTAAACCTCCCAGAGACTGCAGATCTTGTGTGTTAAGCCCAAAGAAGCCTATGCAATGGGACAAATAAGAATTGAAGGGACATCAAATCCTATGACAATATTTGAATGAACTAAAGATTTAGATTGTTATAGGTAAAAGAAAAGAATATAAAGTTGACTTATTTTATCAAGGTCAAAATAAGCCATGTTTTTATGAAATTCTGGCAAACCTTTATAAGACTTTTTGCTAACACCAGGATTGAAAAGTTAATGTCTTATGGATAAGTCCTAGATAAGGGATAGATTATGGGAAGAAGCAGTATCTAGTTGTAACTTTATAGAGCAGCAGTTCTCAACCTGGGGGTCATGACCCCTTTGGGGGTCAAACGGCCATTTCATAGGGGTCGCCAAAGCCCTCTCTCGCTCCCCCCACGCCTTCACTCACCTCACCCTCTGCCTCTGTTGGATCGCCGGTCGCCATTCGCTTACCCCGCCCATTCCCAATCTATTGCTGCCTCCTGAGTCCCAGCTGATGGCTAGAGGGAAAAAAACTGTTTAAATTCTTCCCACGGGGCTTCAAAGGGCCGCCCTACAGCTGATCAGTGTTAAAAGAAAACAAATGAGTAGACCGGTGCCTGCAAAAATAGAAAAAACAACCCCTTTCAGCTTCAGCATAGGTTAATTACCATAAATTGATTTGATCAGCCTCCCGACTCTCAGCTGATTTGCTCTCAGCTGTTTTGCGGTGGGCTCTGTTGCTAGCTAGCTGTAAAGAGGTAAATTGCTGGAGCAGATTTTTTTCCCCCTAGCTATGCTGAAAAAGCAAAACTGAAAGTAAAGCAGGGTCTTTGCTGCAAGGTGACAAAATGAGGCAGAGAGAGATTTCTTTTTCTTTTTCTTTTTCCTCACCAAAAAAGGTAGGTGCAAAACTGCAAACAATGGGAAATTTAGGGCAAAAGAGGAGGTTCAAGATTTTAAAACACAAAAGAAAAAAAGCTCTATTTAACTAGGAAATTGTAATAATTGAGATACTATTAATTGTATATTGTGTTGAAAGCAGAAATGGTTAAGTTGTGGTTTGAAGGAATATATGGGGGAAATTATTTGGTTTATTATTATTGGTAAATATAATTAATTGATTTGTAAGAAATTGGATTGCAAGGAAATAATTGGAATATTCATGTTCATATTAATATACAAAAAAGATAGTTATATAACTAATTGATTTATATTAAAATGTTGAATTTGTATTAAACAACTGTATTACATAATTACATAATTAACCAATGTGAGGATGGATATAAAAACAGATGACAATGCGAAGGAGTATAATATAGAATAGAAGGGAAAAATTGAATTTGATTAAGATTAGAGATGAGGATGAAGGGTAATATTGGTTTTTTAAAAAAAATAGATGAGGAATAAATATGGCAAAAAGGAAATATAGAAATTGTAAATTTAATTGAAATGACTAAACATTGTTTAAATTTGTGAACCGGCCAAATACTCTGTTCAAAGAAAATACATTGTATGTTTGTATGTGTGTTTCTAATTATTGCTATTTATTCATATTTGTTCTCTTTTATTCTTTAAAGTTTAACAATTCATTCTTTATCTTAATATCTTTATATTTGTTTGGGGTTGGTTTTCTTCCCTTTAATCTTTTTTTATTGTACAGCAATCTTTCTCCTCAAACCTACCACCTCTCTCTTTTCTTTCCTTCTTACTTTCTCTTCCCCCCTCTTCTTCTCCTCCCTACTTCCTCTTCCTTTCTCCTTCTCCTCCTCTCTTCCTCCCTCTCTTACCCTCACTCCTACTCTAATTTCCCTTCCCTTCCTTCATCCCTCTCTATTGCTGTATCCTTTTATGCATATGGACTACTCAGAGGGCTGAAAAAGTTATTTCTGACTGGTCCTCACACTTTTGACCAGTCCTCGAACTTTCGACTGTCCTCACATTTTACGTTTTTGCCCTATCTTATCACCATGGTGAAGAGAAGCAGTTGTGAAATGAGTGATATGGTTGTTAAGAATGCTGCATAGGCATAAATGTGAGAATGGTCATAAGTGTGAGGACCTGTCAGAAATGACTTTTTTTGGACTTCTGGCTGGCTCCGCAGGACTTCGTTGACGCCTCTCTGTGGGCGTCCGATCCTCGGTTTTGTAAAAGCCCCAGAACAGCCGAAAAACAGTTGTCTGGGGCTTGAAAACCCTCTCCCTGGGCAAAGGGGAGAGAGAAGAGCCGGCAGGCGGAGGTAGAGCCCCCCAAGTGCCTTAGGAGTAATCCTGGGGTGCGAAGGGCAAGGGCTCCCTAGAAGCCTACCAATCTGCTCCAGACCTGGGAAGACTCCGCTAATTAGCGGGCTAGAAGCCGCGTCCATCTCTGCTGACAACAAATGAGGGATTTTTAACATCTTTAATTGCTGCAGGCAGAACAAGCCAGGAGAAGTCAGACTGCAAGTATTCACACTTAACTCCAAAGTTTATAGCCTCCTTCAGAAGTAACAAGTTAGCAATTTAAAATGGCGATTGAAACTTGAAATGGAGGGGCGGAAAAAGGGAAGGTTACAGAAAGTTTCGTTTCCCTGGCAGCCTCTTGCCTGGAAAAAATTGCTGTGCTGAGAGAAGGAGGATTTTAAACGTTAATTTACGATTGGGAAAATTCTTGGACTTTGATGAACTTTTCTTTTTAGCTTCTGAATAAAATACAACGATCAATTTAAACTGAAAATGGCCTCAAAATCTGTAAAGACTGTTCCTATTAAAGGAACTGGAAGCTCCCCAGCTCATACCCCTAGATTGCAAGCCTTTGCCCCTCTAACAGACCCACAGATTTTAACGTTTGAGATGATACAAGAAGCCCTACAAACTACACAAAATAAATTTGCTACTGTGATTAATGAAAAAATTAATGAAACCAATGAAAAAATTAATGAAACTAATAAAAAAATACAGGCTGTTTCAGATGAGATTTTAATTCGGAACAGCAGATTAGAGATGATATTCTATTGGCATTTAAATGTTTGGCAGGTGACATTGAAATGGTGGATGATAAAGTTGAAGAAATTAAGCAATCTACAGAAATTTTGGACAAAAAATTAGGAGAGACTCACAGCAAACTTGAGAGAGCTGAAGATGATGTAACGATGTTACAATATTGAGATATGGAATTTGCTTTAAGATTTAGAGGGGTGAAGGAGAATAAACAAGAGAACTTGAAAGAAATGATGTCAGAGGCATTGGCACAGTTGCTGGGGAAGACGAAAACTGAGCTGGGCTGGCAGATTGATAAGGTATATCATGTCAATTCTTGGGTGGCTAGACAGAAACGCTTACCAAGAGACATTGTAATATATTTTACTACAAGGAGAGTACGCAATGAAATTTTACAGGCTACTTTTAAAAACAAGCTTCAGGTTGAAGGCCAGGAGGTGATGACAATGAAAGAAATCCCCCCCAAGATGCTGAGAGTGAGAAGGGAGTATGCTTTTCTGGTGGATGAGCTGAAAAAACGTCAATTACAGTACAGATGGGAGGTCCCAGCCGGTTTAGTGGTGACGTATTCTGGAGAGAGATATCGGCTTAATACAATATGGAAAGCAAGAGATTTTTATATCAATGTATTAAAGGCTGGGACACCCAAATCACCAGAAGGAAAAAGAAAGAAGGAAGTACTGGAAGGAGAGAGAGAAGAGCTACTGACAGTGGTTCAGGGGGGAGTTTTGACTGGTCAAGAAGAATCACTACAAATTCAGATGGCTGTTCAAGATGTGGAGTTAATTGATATTTTTGCAGAACCGAAGGATCAAAGACAGACCAGAGCAGCAACAGCTAAGCGTAAGGAAGAATTAAGACAGCAGCAACAACAACAACAACAACAACAACAACAACAACAACAACAACTGCAGATAGCAACTCAAGAAACTACCAAAACAGAAGCTGTGGGGGGAGCAAGACCTAAAGGTCAAATGAGGCAAGACCATCAAAAATTTTTCCAGACGCTTCAGAGGCCCAGAGATAGGAACTAGATTTTTGACTTGGAACATCAACGGTTTGAATTCTCCACAGAAGAGAAGGAAAATATTTCACTATCTTAAACAATTTAAGAATGATGTAATTTGTTTACAAGAGACTCATATTAGGATACAAGATCAAAAATATTTGACAAATGCAAGATTAGGTATACATTATGTTGCAGCAGCATCAGAGAAGAAAAATGGTATAGTTATATATGTGAAAAGAGACTTAATTGCAAATTAGTTGAAGCGGATGATCAAGGAAGATTTTTAGCAATTGAATT